GCTTTGAAAGCACCAGTAACTGTGGCTGCAGCTCCCTCCTGAATTCACTAGATTGAGACTTTAACCATGAGTGCAAACACTGCAAAACATACTCAAATACACGACAATATTGGCTTTAAAAAATAAAATACTATACAGAGAGAATGAGAATCACCCTACCAATTACCTACATGCTAATTATCCCATGCATTGACTGCTGTTAATTACCTAATTGCATGTATGCAGTGCACCATTTCGTTGTTATACATTTCCTCTGCCATATTAATGATCAGGAGGAGGAGGAGCCAATCCCCTAGCACCTGGGAAGTGAAACCTCATCTCTGAAACGAAAGTCAAGTCCAAGTGAAACGTGACTAAGGAAATTGGTGAGCTTATACATCGAGGGGAATGACACATGACCTCACCCCTTCAAGCCTGGAGGTAGAGGTGGAAGATAAGCAGTGGGGCACAGAAAGGGACAAATGCGGACTGAGCACTTCCGAGGGGTACACTGTCACTTTTCATTTGCGTTTCAAGGTATGTGAGACTCTCCATTATCCCTGTTCACCCAGAGGCTTAGAACAGTTCTGTAACTTGCCTCTCGTCAGTCATCTGGTCATTATTCAAAAGGGTCCTTAGACCCAAAGCAGTGCTCTCCCTGGCGAGTTCCTGTCCTACCAGGTTAACCCGGGCTGTGATCTGGACGCCACGCCTCCCTGCACACCCAGCAGCAGACTGTGCTCCCTCTCTGCGGAAGCACGTCTCCTGTCGCTCAGCCTGGGTCTGGCTGGTTCTGCTGCACAAGTGTTGGCTGCCCTGGCAGGAGCAAAGGCGCCACCCTGAAAAGCCAACAGACTGGATGAGAGCCGAAGGACACCGACCCTGGAAAAGCTATGAGCTAGCCGCGGGCCCGCATGCCGCTCAGCTGGATGGGCACACTGGGGACTGGAACATGTGACTTCATAGCCAGATGACCTTGGAGGAGGGCTCTTGAGAAATGGGGTTGCTTGGAGAATTCAATGAGCTGACATGGTGCTGTGCCTTGCACAGTCCTGAGGGTTGTGATAATTTTACTATTAATAACGTACACCCTTTGGTTTAGACAAAGGAAGATGTGACGCTTAGAGGAAAAAGTTTGCAGAGCCCTTGCTGACACCCTAGACAGGCAAGACAAGATGGGGAAGACTCCACTTCCCCTTCCTTTCATGAGCAGCCACAGCTACCTCTCCCGGGAGAAACCTTCCTGCCACACTGTTCTCTTGATACCCTGGTGCCTGAACCAAGGTCTCAGGATAACTCAATCACTGCAAGAACGGAGCTAACTGAAAGGGGTGGGGGGGTTGCTGGACTCCACTCTGCCAAGTGGCAGTGCCTCCTTGGCTGCAGAAAACCTACAATAACACCCACCACAGAGCATACTTTGCACAGCAGGACCTGCCGGAGCAAAGGCAGGGGACTGCCTTCTGCTTCCTTTTCAGAAGGCATAAGATGATAAAAAGGGTGTGACTCAAGTGGGCAAAACAAGTAACAATCACTCACAACGTCGCTAAGCGCTTACTATATCCTAGGGGCCGTGAGTGAGAGCTTGGCAAGTATTGTCTAATTCACTTCTCTTGAGTATACTGAAAGGAAGAGATTTTCACCATCCCGTTTAAAAGATGATAATGTCTTCGTATCTTGTCCAGAATTGCAAAAGCACTAAGCAGCAGAGGCAGGAGCCAGGTCTCCTACCTAGTTCAGGGCTCTCAGACAAGAAAAACTGAAGATAAGAATGCTGAATTCACCTGCAGGCTCTGTCTCCTCATTCTTGTCCACAACTTCATGTGGCTTTGGAGGAAAAACAGATAGTGCCAGGTTTTCCCAAGTTGGGCCCCAAAGGCAGTACTGAAAGCTGGAAGGTGCTTGTACCCCTGGGTTCAGGGGTCAGAGGATGAGGTCTAGAGTACAAGATAGAGGCGGGCCAGCAACTATGGGAACCAAGGTTCCTGGTGGAGTTGTCATTTCTGCCTCCAATTATTTTATTGCCAGTCTCATTCTGTGACTTTTCTACAAAGTGTCCTATCTGTGACATGAGGAGGTGGAGACTTGAAGAGAAACCAAATAGCCACAGAGGCACCTTCCAGCTCAGAGTTTTTTCTTTTGTGTACCAGCGGAGGGTCTACAAGGCCAACATTCCAAATGGATGTTGAAGGCAGTGTATTCTAAGAACTCTTAGCAAATAACTCACATAATTTTGCCAAGCTAGAAATAGCCACAAGAATATACTTCATTTTGCGGAAAAAAATAGCTACAAGAATAATTCATGCAAGTAATGTTCTCATCGTCTGTGCCCTATGTAGCTATGAATTAATTTTCAAAAAGACACAATGGGAGACCACAATGGCAATACCAAAACAACAAGTCTCTTTTCACCAAGGAAAGAAAGGCTACCTCTTCACACAAAAGCTCTCACTAAAATTCCTCTGGATTCATACCAGACGCATGAGCACTTGGGACGGGAAGGACGTTGGAAGGTGAACTAGTTACATCCTCCACTCAGTGCTCAAATTCTTTGCACAGTGTTCCTAAGCATGGACCAAGGGCTCCTCGGTACCCACACAGCAGCAAACCTGGGCCACTCAGCCTTCAGAGGACTTTGTTATACTGTGCCAAATCTGTCCATCCTTCTGTCCACAGGTTTTTATAGCTGGTTAACTCCTCCAGGACGGCGCTTCAGAAAGGCGGCCCACAGGCTTCTCTCCTCCAGAGCTGTCAGTCATTCTGCACTTACAAAGGCAATCTGACCACTGAGGCATAGCCATTTGTGTAATCATTGCTGTTGTTTTTTGAAGACAGATTTACTTAAACCACAATTATTCCATGACGATGACTCCTCCAAATAATCCAGACTGAGTATTTTTTCAACCTGCATTATCAGAAACACTGAAAGCTGATTATAATCAACTTGCTTTCACAGAAAGAAGGAATAAATCAAAAAATAGATGCTTAGAGAACCCACTTGGCTAAAAGTATCAGCAGCAATCATTTCATATTTGCAGCCAACAGACGAGCCCGGAGAACGAGATGCACACTTTACCACTGTGCGTGCCTGCCTACCATCCAAATGGGCAGCTTTCAAACCACAGAACCAAAAACCTCATTTAGCCACAGCCTTGTATTTTACCAAGTGAAAGCAGGATCCAAAGATTCTGCCTCTTTCTCCTTGCTTCCTCAGATGTTCACAGAGTCCAGGCTCTGTGCTCGGTTATGCAGAGGATGCCCATATACTCTTGCACCCTCAGGCCTCCTAGCAGGGACTTACAAAGCAATAAAATTCGGGGGTTCTAGGTTAGGCGGAAACATACTGTTAGGGTAACCCAGTGCCAGTCATTCCAAGTCTCATATAATGGACGTAGAAGACGAGTCTGTTTCCTTTCTCTCGATTTTGCTTAAACTGTTCCTCCAAGCAGAACACCTACTCATTCCGTTTGGCAAACACATCCTCTGGCCTCAGCTCATTTCCCCAACACTTTCTCCCCTGTAGCTTCTCCTCCTCTCTCCTCCCTCAGCAGCCCACATAAATCACAATCATCTTATTCAATGAACTGCAATTATCCTCCCTGTGTCGATCTTCTCTTTCAGAAAGGGAACTTTGTTATCATTCAGTTTTACTTTTCTAGTCTAGCTCAGTTAGCACAAAGTTAGGTTTGATGAACGAACAGAGAAACATATCCGCACAGTCCTAAGGGTTAAGTGGAGTTTCTCACACACAGGAGAGGAGGGATTCCAAGCTGAGGCAGCAGCATGTGGAGACACAGAGCTCTGGATGGGTGCAGAGTGCCTGCAGAAGTGTGTGGGGTCCTCACAGTGGAATTCAAGGAGCCGAGGGCAGGGTGGGGAGAAGTGGTGGAGGACGGGGCTTGGGGGTTAGGTCATGTGCACAACCACGTAAGCCAGGCTGAAGTAACAGACACAAGCCTGTAAGGGTCAGACTCATTTTCAAGGTGAGTCGAGGGCCGTGAAGAGGAAGTACTGTGCTGGTACAGACGCAAGGCAGGGAAAAGTCTAAAGCCCACTGTGCCGTCCTGCCAGGGTACCGGGAGTGTCTGTGACACGGGGCCCTGTGTCCCGTGGATTCTGCAAGGATGATGAGGAAGAAAGCAAAGGACAAACTCAGATTTGACAGCTTAGGTGGAGCCAACAGGATCTGACGATAACACAAGCTGGGAGAAGGGAAAAGCAACATCAGTGCTGACGCCCGGGTTTCTGATCTGGAACCTGGGCACAAATGAGATGGTGTAAACACAGATGGGGCCGTGAGACAGGAGCAGACAAGAGGGGGAGATGATGGGACACTGGGGAAAGTTCTCACGGCCTCCTATCCCAAGGGTTCCTGCAGACACACAGCTGCCATCTTACTGTCTTAGCCAAGAGAGATGGATGCAGTGCAGAAGATCCTTCGTGGAAAATAAAGAGGGCAAGACAAACACTTAATCCTCATGGAGACAGAGACCCTCTGATAAACCAAGGGAGAAAGAACCAACTTCCGATGAGGTATTTTCCGGTTCTTAAACTGCTGATCTTTCTCAACAACTTGCCAACAGTATATGAAATATTCTCCAGACAACTAAATTCCATGACTTCTTAATTTTCTGTACCCAACTAAAGTAACTTCATAGCTTTTTAAAAACTATCATCACCAGCAGGCCGGCTAATGGCCTCCTCCCACCACTCGGCACGTCCTGGTCTCCAGGGAGACGTCAGCTTACCTTCAGGGGCTCCATGCAGCTGCTTCATCAAAGAGCAACCTCACGTCTTACTCATCTCTTTGAGGAGCTACAAAGTCTAGACACGGCTGAGGACAAAGCCCACAGACATACACGGGAACAAATCCCTTCGGTACCAACATGAGCCGCCTTCTCATCTAATAATATTCCCTCCGCGGGATGGTGAAAGGACTTAGGACCTTCCTGGCCCCAGGAACCATCCAAAGTGCACAGGGAAAACAAAAGTGTAGAAAAACACTGAAAGTGTTCGCTCACCCTCTTCCTCAGGTTGTAGGTGAGAATCAGGTTCCGGGAGAAGGAGTGGGAGAAGGCGGTGTAGAACTCCAGCACCTTCTGCAGGGCGTCCCGTTTGATCACATGCAGGTCACAGTAGGTCAGGGCCCTAACGTTGGCACAGGACTGGGCAAGGGTGGCTTCCTTCCAGAACACATCTCCGAACACATCACCTTTCCCTGAGGAGAGAGTCACCGGGAGGAAGCGTCAGGCCGGAGGGCTCTGGCTGTCTTCCTTCTCCCTAGAGCACTGCCCCTTTGATACATGGAGCTTGGGCTCAGAAAAGGAAGAAAGGGTTTTAATTGGAACTGTAACAACATGCAGTGCGAAAGACTTTAAAATACCACATATACAAGTCAGCAACCAGTGGGTTTGGAATCAGTAATGTCACCTCCTCTAAGGGTTATCCCAATGAACCTACTGAAAAGGACCCTGCCCGTATTCTTTATCACACCTCCATTTCCATGACTCCAATCGTAATCTGTAGCTATTTGTTTGTTTCCTGGTTTACTGTAAGTCTCAACATGTGAGCTCATTACTCCACATAACAGAGTACACATCCCATGGTCAGAACTGGGTCAACATTTGCAGACAGAAGGGAAAGGAAAGGAGGAAGACGGCTCTAAGTCTACATCGTGACTGAGGTGAGCAGACAGGCTGCTGGTGGACGATGTGGACTCTTCACTGGAGAGCGGAAAACAAGGCAAGCCCCTCCCAGGTGGGATGATCTACACAGGAGTCAGGCAAGTGTGGGCTTCAGCCGCTCGCACGTTTGTCTGCTGCCCTAAGGTTCTTATTTATATGGTGCTTCCTTCCCCTCTCCCACAGCTTTCCCCAAAGTATGCATCTTACCCTTATCAAATGCCTTCCTAGAAGCATAAAATTATAAGCCCTATATAATAGTATCTCCAGGTTCTTCTATCTCTAGCATTCTACAAGTACATCTCATAAATCAATCCAGCAAGGTTACGAACCGAATCCTGCCATTCGTATACCAAAAACCTTACACTTAATGTAACCACCGTAATCAGGAGGTAGAGGCTGAGAGGTATAACTCACAAGGATGGAGCTCTCATGAATGGGATTAGTGGCCTTACAAACGGGACCCAAGGGCTCTCTCGTGCTCTTTTTGCTGTGTGAGAACGCAATAAGAAGTAGGCAGTCTGCACTGTGCAAGAAGGCCCTCATCAGAGTCTGGCCATCCTGGTACCCTGATCTTGAATTTTCAGCCTCCAGAGCTGTGAAAAAGAAATCTCTGTTGTTTATATGTGTTATCGTTCACATCTACATGTCCCCCCACAGCCTCCTGCACTCAGAGGCAGGGCTTTCAGAAGAGGACTAGACCTTGGGCCTCTACAGCTGACTCACCTTAGGAGGTGGGGCCGCTTGGGGCATGACCAGAGGCTGTATCTACTTCCAAACATGGATTGAAACGTTTTAAACGATGAGCCAAATAAACCTCTCCTCCTTTAAGTTTTGGGTGTCAGATATTGCATCCCAGTGATGAGAAAGCAACAAGATAATATATCGTCTACAGCACTTTGTTAAAGTAGCCAAAACTAAGAACTGAACCCACATACTCATATTCTGAGTCAGCTTATATTTCATACCTAGGGACATTCTCCCTACCTTTCTCAGTAACCGATCAATATTTTAATGTGTGTCTAAGGCAAAGCTTAATTTATTCCTGGTACAATTTCTGGTTATAAGTAACTTAAAATGTTTATCTTGTCTCTAAATCCTCAGCACAGATAAACATAAATTTGAATCCCCAGGGAACCAAAGAGGAATATACACAGGGAAGGGTGGAAATTAATGTATTCTCAAGGACCTGCCTGTGTGTCCAGGTCAACCGAGCTCCACAGCCAGAATCCAGACACCTGCGATTCATGCATTAACAGAACATCTGTCTTCCCTATTAAGGCTAAGGAGGCAAAAACATTCTCAAGCATATGGACATACTTGACTTTTTCCCAAACACCAAGAAATGTCACTCTAAGTATATGAGATACTCCCAGGACATAGCCTTCTCTATGTGCCTCTAAAATGTGAGCAAAAATCAATAGACTGGGCACATTACAGTTCTCAAGTATTTAGGGTTCTAATATCAAGGTAGTTTGTACTGACTCGATGTTAGTAGAATACACACTTGGAACAGCTTCTAGGTAAACATGTCTTTGAGACTGTGCTGGTTAGATTCCCTTACCAAGTCCCTTTTCAAACATCTGTAATATTTTCTGCCACCTGCCTCAAAAGTGCAAGGACCTGAGTTTGATCCCCAGTACTCCCCCCAAACAATCTGTAATATGGGTTTGCTACATCAAGGCTGGGGTCAGTGTGCGGAGCATGTCTCTCCATGGGATTCTAGCCGGCTGCCATGGAAACAGGCCCATTCAATGGGTGCTTTCTAGCACTGATTTCTACCTTCAGTGCTGGCCAATTCATCTGCTTGTATTAAGCATCTGTAACCTTCCTACACGGCCCCCGATGACTCCTGTGCCCTTCGTATTTATGTACTCTTCCTCCTCTAGAGGATGCTCTTCTTCTGAAATAGTAACTAGATCATTTAAAAATAGACACCACCCATTCCTTTCCAGGCTGCATGCCGCAGCTCACATTAATAGGTGAAGCTCAATCCCCTCCCCTTGGATACGGGCTGACTATAGGGATTCCATTAGCAGAATCTGATAAAAAAGATGCTCTAGGATTCAGAACCAAAGCAGTAAGAAGTTGCAGCCTCTGCCGTGGTCTCTCAAAGCACTCATCCTGGGAACCTTCCCTCACAGATCCAATTAAATATGAGAAGCTCAAGCCAAGCAAGAGCTCACCTGTAAGCTCTCTGCTCACAGTGCACCTTCATCCGCCTCCTCCGTCCAGCCCAAGCTCCACTCACCATCTGGCTGCAGCCACGTGTGGGGAGCTCAAGGGACAGCGAAGGGCACAGCATTCAACCCACTGAATGTGAGAGACAATAACACATTTCTTACACTGTTATATTCAGGGTTCGCCACTGCAACAGAAAACTAAAATACACAGGACTGTGACGCTCTTGGTCCCAAAGCTCATGAGAAATCACCTAAGAAGCCACTCACTATTCCGGCAGGACATTGCAAACCAGCCTAGCTCGGAGCTGGCACCTCACACCCTTCCCTGAGAGAATGAGACAGGGCAGATTTTCCCACACCTGCATCTGAGTATCAGTAAGAAATGTAGAATTTACAAAGCCTGCCCTCTCCTATTGGGCTGAAAAGTAAGATATTTGATCTAAAACTGTTCAGAGTGCAAATCTATTGACAATTTTTTAGTAAGATTACCTCATGCAAAGATGACCCAACTACATTTCTTAAATGCACTGGGAATAGTTTTTCTAATTATAGAAGAAACCATAAAGCAAAACAATAGCTTTTCATTTGCACTTAACATACAAATTAGATGTAAAAGCTGTTTATCAACAACTCTTCAGGGGCATATCTACTGCATAAAACAAAGGACAACCACATTATAGTTAGAACACACCATGGGACGAATAGGTACTTTAGAAATAATGACGGGCCGGGGATTTAGCTCAGTGATGCCACTGCCTGCCTCACAAGCACAAGGTCCTGAGTTCAATCCCCGCTACCAAAAAATAAAAAATTAAAAAAAAATAATAATGACACCATCCTCTGATAAAATATTTCCAGGGCCGGGGATTTAGCTCAGTGGTTCTACCGCCTGCCTTGCAAGCACAGGGACGTGAGTTTGATCCCCAGTACCAAAAAAAGAGAGAGAGAGAAAAGAATATTTCCAATCAAGTTTGTTACAGACAATAAATGGAAGGCAGCTCCTATAACAAAAGCATCTCTTTGTAAGATAATCACAATCCATAAGGTCTAGAAGCCTCAGTGTTGCCATAACTTGGATTTGATTTTCAACCCAAATTGAAAAATCATACAACCTTACTTCCTGTCAAGGCAGCATTTCTGTTATAAATGATCTATCAGTGAGACTAAGCAATGTGGTGTTGAAGGACCTGTCAGATGCAGAACAAACCCAAGATTATTCTGGCAAATGAGAAATGTTCTTATGACACCTGTAATTTGGGAAAACCGTCGAGAGGAAGGGTGCGGGGCACATGGCAGGCTGTTCCTAAGTTTTACACACTCCTGGAAACACTAACTTCCCAGGTCAGAGCTGAGAATCAGAAGCCAGGACAAGCCTTACACCCACATCCCTCTCCTGTGTGCTAGTGGGAAATGAACAAAAGGTACCCTGATGCACTCAGCAATCAAACTACTCAAAAGCAATCAGCTTTATTGATTTATTTATTACTCCAAGGCACTGAGTGCAGAATGTTAAAAGCTAACGTTACAAGTCTCTAAAGCACTAACGTTCTAAGTGGGTGTTCTGAGCTAGGGCACGAGGAAAGGCAGTCTAATGAAAACTCTGGGCGAACCTCCCCGTACTGATTAACCAGCCCCTCCCATTACATGCAGCTGTCTCTCCTGAATCTTCACTCCTGCAATGGTATTAACAGGGGGCTGCGCAACACAGGCAAAACAAGCAGGACATGGACCCAGGGCTGGGGGGTGCCCACGGCACAGGAGGAAAGCCAGCCCTGCAGCCCAGAGTGAGGGTGGAGGCTGCAGTCTGGAGGGCACAGGTGGGCCTGTGGGAGCGAGGTCAGAGGGTATGAGGGTGAGTGAATTCGCGGTGTCGGGACAGGTTCCAAAAACATCACACAGCCTTCCCAAATACTAACGCGCTGTGGGGAGCCTTCTGATCTGATCCTTACAAATGGGTCTGGGACTCTTCAGAGCAGGTGCCCAGATGAACTCAGCAGCCAGGAGATCAGAGCACAAGTGAATTTTCTGGATGCCTCCCCTCAATATTCCTCGCCGTGTGCTCCTTTAAGGATAACTAACAGTGGTGCTCTGGGCTAAGCAGAAAAGAACTGCACTGTGCAAGTCCTTAGCTGTTGCTAAGCATCTCCAGACTCAAGCCAATCAGAGAAACCCAGTGACACACTCATGTACCACTTGCCAGGCACTGTTCTAGGGCGGAGGTTTAGCAAGGCACCAGGGGACACAGGTCAATGGACACATCAGGGCTACAGCAGGGCATGGACTCAGAAGACAGGATGTCTAAGCTGAGAGTCCAGGAAATCAGGAGAACCGGTGCAGAGGTGGCTCCGGGCAGA